AGCCAACCAGGAGCCGACTGATCTGCATAAGGCTGCAAGCCCCGCCCCGCCCTCGCGGTCAGAATGGTCTCTACGCCGCCACGACGTGGCGGGAAGGAAAAGGCGCCAAAATGGAGGGGGAGGGGCGCGGGGCGTGAGGGGAGGCGGGAGCTGAGTGTGGAGCCGCGAGAGGAAGGATGGGGAGGGGCGTATCGATTCAAACCCAAACAATAACAAAGCCATCAAAGGCCGCCCCAGGCAGGCGCTGCGGCTCTTGGTTTTCGGAGGTTTTTGGGTCAAGGGCTCGAGTTGGAGCATAACAAGTTGCACCGAGACGACGGGCTCTGGTGTGTCAGGCGGGGAGGCCCGGCGGCCGCGCGCCCGGCGTGAGGGACTGTGTGTGGGGATGCCGACGAGGGTGGTCTTTTCTGTGTGACTCACACCCGAGACCTCCAAGTCGGCTTGGGCGGGTTGACGGAGTTTTCTGTGGGCTCGGTTTGGGTCCTGGGGGTGGGGGGGGGGGGGGCCGTGTGTCGGGGGCGCGTGGGGGGGCGAAGGATCTGCGAGATGTGAGTCACGGCGGCTTCGCCGAGCGAGTGGAGGTGTCACAGGCCTGAAATAAAGCTGGGGAGAGCTCGCTTCTTCGGGGGAGGGGTCCGGGCGGCGGGGGTCACCGCCCGCGAAAAGATCGGCCCCCGGCTTCTCAGGCGGGTCTTGGCCAAACGCAGGAAGGTACCAGTGAGTCCTGACTGCCGAGAAGTGATGTGTGTCAGAGGGCCGGGTAGAAAGGAAATCACGAAACAAATGTTAGTATTATGATGCCAGATGCTGTCTCAGCTCCTTCTGTGCGGGCGGGAGAGAGGAAAATTCCTCATCTCGAGCCGGGGTGGGAGGGTGCGCCTGATTAAATCAGAGTTTTCGCGTCGCAGTCACCCTTTCATCAGCCGATTCTTAACAGCCAGGCAATACTAGCGATTATTGGAAGCCCCGGCCCCGTCTCAAAGGAAATCCCCCCTCTCCCTGCCCCCTCCGTGGAAATAACGCGCAAAACGGACCCACTCGATTTTCCTCCTTTGTTCCTCTTAAACTTCATGTAGAGTTGATAACGACGTGTGAAATGAGTGAATTAAAATTCTGTGTAATCCATAAATTGAATTGTCAGTGGCCTGAGTAATTGAAAGCTAACTAGATCCCATTTTAGTTTTTCAAGTTCCTGCCATTTAAAGGATAAATGAGGAGGTTTGAGGATTTATCTGTCTAGCTGCAGTCATTAGTGAATTTCAATGTTTCCTTCAAAGTTTTGTACAGTGCTTGTTTTAGAACGCTGCTCAGACATTTCACAACTTGAATGGGTTTATATAAAATAGTAACATAGTTTCCTTTTATACTGTGGCCTTCGTTTGTTTTTGTTGACGGGGGAAACACAAGGGAACAGAAATTAAGCCCTTTTTACAGATGAGGAAAATGAAACTTAAGTAGGAGGACATAGGGTCACACAGTAGCTAAAGAAGGAAGAGATGGAATGACCCGAGCTCCCTAACACCCAAACTCTCCTCCTGCCAGGACTAAAACTGTCCTTGGTACTGACTAGGTAGTCAGTACAGGTCTGTGACCTCTGCCTCCATCCCCTCTGCCCTTTTTTTCCTTTCTGGGGGATTCCCATTCACCAGGTACTTCCCCAGTCTCTGCAGAGGCACTCAGCCCCTTCTGAGAGTGCCCTCTCCTCTTTTGTCTTTCCACCCATCAGGACACAATGATACCAATAGCTCCACCATACTCATGATTAAAGGCATTTTTTATCAATAGTTCCACCACAGATTGCTAAGCAAATGCCATGCATTTGTTCATGGTCTATTCTACTCACCCCACAGTCATGCTTGTTTTCAAATCTCTTTGTTAATTAACATTTCAATTATTTATACCTGATCTCCCTATCCCTTCAAGGTCTACCTTATCCAACAATGGTTAATGAAGGGAGAACAAAGTGGGCCCTAAAGAAAATGCACAATTAAAGCATTTTTTAAAAAACCAATTTTAGGTAAACAGGTTTAGGGAAAATAAAGGTTAGGAGCAAGATCTTTAAACTGAATTAACCCACTTTCAAATCCCGGATCTGGCTCCTACAGTTATGTAACCTTTGTCAGGTTATTGTTCAAAAATTTTTAGACTCTGAATATAAATAATAACAGCACCTTATAGGGTTGAATACACAAAATTCTGCATGTAAGACACATAGTTTAGCTATGATAACAATAATGCCTTTTGTGAGCATGGCAATGAAGAATAATAATTTTGGAATGGTCTTGTGCCTTTGGAGGTTCTAAAGGTGAAATGTTGTATAAATAGTTTCATTTTAATCATCTTGGGAGAGAATATGATTTAAAATAGTTGTATACATTAAATTGAGTTCAACCTTTTTCATTCTCCCTAGATCTTCATAAGGCTAAATATTTAATTAGTTAGAGCTTAAGTGATTAACATTTAATATGGCTGCTTTATATGGTGGGTGCTTCACAGCTGGAAGTTACAAAACATGGACCTTGCTTGGCAAAGAATTTTTATTTACTTAAAACTGCTTTGAAGATAAATGTTAAACATTTGAGTATGTTTTGTGTTAAAAGTTACTCTTTGAGGGTACTGAACTGGTGTTTTCATTCATCAAAACATGGTTTTAATAATAAAAACAAACCCCACCTGTGCTGTCTCAAAGAATCTAACAAAGAATCAGAAACATCACACAGTAATAACTAAATGACAAGTGCTTTTGGAAAGATAAAAGCCATGATTGTGCTAACAATTCTGTGAAAATAGAAGAATATGTTTTTGTTAATTTGAACAATAGCCAAATTAATTCTTTGGTGGTTGCCTTTTGCCACCTGATATGGGTTCAATCAAAGGAAAGACTTAGCAATTTCTGTAATCACAGAAGCTTGGAAGTGTGAAATGGATGCCAGGACACTGTTTTTTAAAATAGCTGAATCTAATTGATGCACCTCTAGAACTAGGTCTAAATCAGGTGAAATAATTTGGGTCTGCATGTCTTGTTTATCTCAAAAAATGACTGCACTTTTTAAAGTTTAAACTTAAATTGCATTGTTCACCATGGCTTATAATTTCGCTCTCTCCTTGTTTGATGAAATAAAAAGGGGGAAATTTGGAGGCAACTATAGTACATTTTACCCCTATACTTTAAAACATCCCCATTTACCTCAATAGTCATAAAATTATTTAGAAAAAAATAAAAAATTATATAAAAACCCACTACAGGGTGGCTCAGGGGTTAACATCTCATTGCTATCAAACTATTGCCAATGCCCAGCCAGGGAGCTGACCAACATGGTCCACCAGACCTCTCCTGTCCTGCCTGCTGTTCCCCTCAGCACTGTATTTCAGTAGGTCCTCCTATTCAGCTCCCCACTCTGTCTCTGGTGAATCTTCTCACTCCCCCCACCTCACCTCTCACTTACACCCCAGTTCTTATATGCATAAATAAATAAAAGTAAATATTAAGAAAAAATTCATTACAGACAGTAAGACATGATTTTAAAAGACTAAAACCCTTTTAAATTTTAATAATTGTAATAGTGGTAGACAACTAAAAAATCCAGTGTCCCAACTTCAGAGAATCTACATAGTCAAGTTAAAACGGTTTCTTTTCCTTGGTAAGATGTGACATTTGTTTCAAGTTTATAAATCTCTTTTAGTCATTTTTCAATTTCCTCAGCAAGGTTGGAGGGAAAAGGGTTTTTATTTTCCAGTAAAGTATACTTAGATTTATTAACAATTCATTAGTTTTTCTTTATAGAAATGAAAGTAATCTGGATGTATTTTGGAATTTTACACATTCAGTGCTGTCAATTTGAGTAAAAATAATCAATATTTATTGATGGCCCTGGACATAAAGATTTTATAGTTCCTGAGCATTTGTGGATAGGTAAGAACCATAAAGGAGTAGCTTAGAAAGTAGAACATCTACAGGAAGCCTGGAATCTATTATAAAATACCTTACAGGCCTCACTGGTGGCTCCGGGGTTAATGTCCTGGGTTAAAGACAGCATCTTCAAGCTATCCACAGTTACTGCAGCAAGAGTGCAATCCTGGCCAGAGAGGTGACCCACATGGCACAGCAGACCTCTCCTGTCTTACCCACTGTTGCCCTCAGCAACGTATTTCAGTAGATCCATGGGTTCTGCTTCTCTGGTAAATCCTCTCACTGCCACCACCCCTCCCCCAACTCTGGCTTATACCCCTACTTCGTGTATGTATACATAAATAAAAATAAATCTTCTTTGAGCACTCAATTAGAAGCCTTGGATCAAAAAGAACAGGTATGTAAAAAAAAAAAAATCCTTCCTATGCGACTGATAAAAATGGGACCATTGTGTGGGTAAAAAGAGAAAGAGCTAAAGATATCAGATGTTTGCACTTGGTAAAGGGATTACCTGCTATCTCTTAAAAA